AGCTACTCGATCCGCCTAGCGCGGTGTCGGGCCCGGGAGATGGTCGCCCGTCGAGTGCTCGCGCCAGGGCCGTAAGCGCAGTCGCGAACATACCGCCCGCCTCGTCAGGTTGACGAAAAACGGACGTTTTCTCCATGGTTAGCGAGTGGACCGACATCTCATGAGATCAGGGTCGACCGCCCGCCGTGCTCGACTCGGTAAGCAAGGCGCTTGTATTAACCTAAAACATAAAGAGTTGTAACATGGACACATGACCGGTATAGGTTAGGTAACATAGTCTTATTTAAACAGGCGGTTGTGGTATGAGCTCGTCCGTGTCCGGGGCGTTAACTGGTGTCTCTACCGCTTCAGTGGGCAACAGACACAGTTTGGTGATTGGCCGAGTGAGGACGGTGCTGGCGGTCTTCACTTTAGCTACCCGGACAAGGCCATCCGGTCCCGAAATCACCTCGACTATACGCCCCAGCGCCCATTTGGCTGGCGGCAAGATCTCGTCCTTGACCAGCACGAGGTCTCCCTCCTTGAGGTTAGCCCGTTGGCGGTGCCATTTTGACGATTGCTGGAGCGTGTGAAGGTATTCCTTCGCCCATCTCTGCCAAAAGTGGCTCCTCAAGCTGGAGACCAGTCGCCAACGATTGGTTAACGTTGCTGGTGGATCCGTAATAACCGGCTCTGGCAAGTTCGTCAGCGGTTCCCCCACCAAGAAGTGGCCCGGAGTTAGCGCCACCAGGTCGGATGGATCCTGGCTCAGTGGACCCAGGGGCCTCGAGTTGAGACAACCCTCGATCTGGCACAACAGGGTCGCGAGCTCCTCGTACGTCAAGACCTGGTCGCCCAAGAGGCGGCGTAGGTGGTGCTTGACGGACCGGACACCCGCCTCCCAGAGGCCGCCGAAGTGCGGCGCGTGTGGCGGGATAAAACGCCAGGTGGTCCCGTCATTGGCCAGAAGAGCGCCCACCTCGTTAGAGAACGATGAGGCCGTTTGGAACATCCCTCTCAGCTCCGCGTCCGCTCCGCGGAAGTTTGTGCCGTTGTCGCTTAGCAACAGCGTGCAGCGACCTCGTCGGCTGGTGAATCGCTTAAAGGCTGCAATGAAAGAGGCAGTAGATAAGTCCGAGACTGCCTCCAGGTGGACGGCCTTTGTTACAAGGCAGACAAAAAGGCAAATATAGCCTTTAAAAGTCGCGTGGCCGCGCCCCTTGGAGGCCCGGATGCGCAATGGACCGGCATAGTCCACACCGGAGGAAAGAAATGGTCGCGCCGGCTGCACTCTCTCCGCCGGCAGTCGACCCATGCGTTGCTGGCCAAGGTTCGCCTTGAAGCGGGCGCAGCGCACGCATTGATGCGCTACTTGGCGAATCCGAGAGGCACCCCCTGGAATCCAGTAATGGCGCAGCAGATAGCCCCGCATAAGCTGCGGTCCCCCATGGAGAGTGGCGTGGTGAGCATGGCGGATCACCAACAAGGTGAAGTGCCCATCCTTTGGCAGGAGCAAAGGATGCCGCTCACTGAAAGGAAGTAGTGCGGACTGGAGTCTGCCTCCCACTCGAAGAAGATCCTCCTCGTCCAGCGTCGGGTGAAGTCCGCGCAACGGTGACCGGACGGAGATCGCGCGCCCAGTTTTCAGCGCCATCAGCACGTCCGGGAACGCCTCTTGTTGAGCCTGCTTTATCCAAGTCAGCCGACTCCGGTGTAGTTCGGAGGAAGTCAGGAAACCACTCCGAGCGGGCTCCAGCCTCCGAGCGTTGTGCAGGAACCTGAAGCAATAAGCTGTCACCCTCACAAGCCGGGAAAGTGAAGAGAACCT